TTGTCCTCATCACCAGTCTAGTTGTTCTGCCTTATATGGGGTAAGTCAACACTTCAGAGAACACTGTCAGGGTCACAAGGTCAGCACTGTGACTCAGGCTTACTGTAATTCATTCATTCATTCATACAGTGTGTTATTCTGGTAAAATATGTCTGTTTTATGTTTTTTATATTCTGTTTTATTCCTGAAAAGATCAAACAGGAGGCGGGTTCACTTCCACACCAATAAAACTGTTACATAATTTAAGAATCAAAGGCAGCTGCAACTGAGAACTTTATACAATCCTTTTGTATTTCAGGGTTCACGGGGCCACACTCGGGGTTGGATCCCTCCTGGCCGGTTTCATAGGAGAGTCGACAATGGTTGCCATAGCAGCCTGCTATGTTTATCGACAACAGGTGAGAACACCTGGGTTGAGGTCATTGCAAACGTGAGGGCACACACCTTATTCCGTGCTTTCTGCAAATCGCATCTGCAGCCATTTTGAATCAGGTGTGTCCCTCCATTATTTTGTACAACCTGTTTAGTTTGAAAAGGAATCCAGCTGAAAGAAATCCATTATGAATACATGCAAGAAAAAAGACCTCTAAAACCTTTCTTTTCAAAGCAAAACATTCATGCATTGTGTTGTTTTATTTCACAAATCAAACAAAAAAAAAAGATTATTGTGCTGTGTGTAAAAGTTTGGGCAACCTGTGAGTTCTGCAGTCTTTTTACAAGGTCTCCAACCTTCATCAGCTCGTTAGGCCTGAAGGTATGTAAATGTTTGTCATTTACATTGGAAGAGAAGTCCACTTGTGCTAATTTCAACCCTTTACAAATACTCTGACTCTTCAAACATTGTGTGAACACTCCTCAACCATCCTCTTAAGCAGCTGTGTAAGACTGAAAATGAGAGTTATTGATGCCCATTGATGTCCACAATGCAGGAGAAGGCTACAAAAAGAAAGCAAAGCGTGGTCAGCGTGCAGTTTCTACGGTGTCAGAGAGGACTGTTCGTATGCTGGTCAGAAAGGCAAATCAAAGAAGACAGAACCGTGCCTGCATCCACATCATAACATCAGAAGTATGCAACCTCTACAGAGGCCTGATGCATGTTAGAAACAAGTGCTGTGGACTGATGAAGTTTAAAATAGAACTCTTTGGCCACAATCACCAAAGAGCTGTTTGGAGAAAAAAGGAGGGTGGATCTATCATATTTTATGGTTGTGTTGCAGCCAGTGGCACAGCAAACACTGGACGGGTGGAGGGAAGATTCCACTAAATACCAACAAATCCTGAAAGCAAACATCACAGTAACTGTAAAAACAGCTGAAAAGAAGATGGCTTCTACAACAGGATAATGATCCTCAACATACCTCGAAATCCACATTAACTACCTCAAGAGTCCCTCGCAGTCCCCTGACTTAAATATCATTGACAATCTGTCGGTAGATCCTGAAAGAGCTGTGCATGCAAGAATATTACAGAACTAGGAGCCTTTTGCGAGGAAGAATGGGACAAAATCCCAGAAAACCTGGCAAACTGTAATATCTGCTGGGAGGGGCTTACTAAGTACTGACAGTGTAGGTTGCCCAAACTCTCACACATGCCACAATTATGTTTTTATTTTTGTTCAATCTATGAAATGCACGAATGTTTGCCCTCGAGAGGCTGCGCTTACATCTTTATAATGAAAAAAACCCACCAAATTATTACTGGTCAAGGGGTGGCCAAACGTCCGCATACAACTGTATCTACAGAGCTGGTGTGTTTGTCTTTATTATGGAAATTTGTATTTAAGTGACAAAAAAGATGATATACAGGAACAGTTTGTATAATAGAGCCTTTACAGCTTTCTACTGTCTCACTGATTGTCAGGAAGCTTTGTTCGTTGAAAGAATAATCTTGCCCAGTAGTCAGAACAATTATCTTGTTACTGGCAGCGTCTGTAATTCTTTTATTATTTATTATATATTACAGGGTTATGTTAAAGAACAGCAAGTTGTGTAATGTTTTAAAATAGATTTTTCAGTCAAAAGAAGAGGTAGTCGACATTTTGGGAAATACACATTCTTGCTGAGAGTTAGATAAAAAGATTGATACCATTTTCACATCTGTACAATATGAGGCTAAAGCTTACAAAAAAAGAAGATATAGAATAACTAGAAATAGCCAATGTTCTTTCTGATGGCCTCTTTTGCTTATGTAAGTCATATAAAGGCATCCAAATTAGATTGAGACCGTTTCACAACAGTTAAAAGCTCTTTGTAGTAACTTTAGTGCAGCACACAAAATTACAATGTCCTGTCTGACTGAAGAGAAATGTGTCATTACCAAGTTAGTTTATGGGTCATGGCATATATCATTATTTTAACTGTTACATGTTTTAAATTCGGAAAATGTGAGGTGGCAATTTCTTTCAAATTTAACCATGAATCCTTTGTGCACTTAAACAAAATCTTGTGCCGTGTGGAGGCAGTCATTAGATGAGGCACACCTTTTCCCTCCAGATACCTGGATTAGAGTCTTCCTTTAGCCTATATGTAAATAATTAGTTTGAGCTTGTAAATATTTAAATAGTTTGTTTTGTATTCTCGCTCCCTTTGTAAATATTTAAGAACTTTTTTTAACTTAAAATATACGATGCCGCTGTAATGAGTTTGTAAAATGATTTCTTTCCAACTCTGTGTATTGGTCAGAAACAGGTTTGCGTTTGCACTGCAGTGTACAGTGATGCATTTAGTGATCAAACAGTTAGAGATAAACAAGAAACAGTAACTCAACCAATGACTAAAAGAATAATGAAAACAGATTGTGGTGTTTCTTTTAGATTTAAGTGCAACTAGAAGAACTTCCATGGCGGACCAGAGTCAGTCGATGAATGACGGGAGTTACCGAAACAAAGTTATTGAATTATATTCATTAGGGAGAATGAAAGAAACCTTTCAGTTCGGGACAGCTGAAAGTAAAATTTGGGACAGTTGCAGGACACTGAGGAAAAAAGTTTCCAGCCCTGAATGAGGTGCTTGTAGGCGTACTCTCTGACCTTTGGACTCGCTGATTCCACTTTTTTCCAGTCTTTGTGCGAAGTTGACCAGCCTCTGCAGACGAGTGACAAATTAAAGGAAAAACCTTGAAGGAATGTGCGGAGAAACATGACAAATTGCAGACGTGAATGAAAATGATAATGAATCAGCTGAACACAGATCTTATCTAAATCTCAGCAAGAAAGTACACAATATACTCCATTTAGAGTCTAAAAAAAATCCTGTTTCTATCTTTCCACTAGGGGAATTCCCTTTTTCAGTGAGTGCACACAGAGCAGCAACCTTCTCCATCAGCACTCTGAATGCATCATATTAATCTGGCTGTTTACTGTAATCGCAGTTTGTAGCGAGTCGGTGCTAATAACCAGAAGCATAACCCAGCGAGGTTATCGGGTTCAGGATGTCCTGCATGCTCCTAAATACTTCCATCTTCACGTGAGGACCGGATTACTCACTGTTTTACTGTGTTCATCTATTTTGCAGCTTATCGAGTATTAGATTAGCACAACAATCGTCTCAGTTGCAGTTTTTTGGCAGCGCCGGTTCTACTTTTCCTCCCTGACTTTTAAGGATTATGTGGTTTCAATTTCTTTCTTGTTCGCCGTTTCCCGCAGAAAAACAACGAGATGTCCAACGAGCTGGTGGTGGAGGGCGAGGACTCTGCCCCGATGAGCGAGGTGTGCTCCAGGACTCAGATGGACGCCATCGAGGAGCTCCAGGAGGAGGAGGAGGAACAGGAGTGAACTGAGGGGGGGGGAGAGGAAGGGAAGAGGCGAGGGAGGTAAAGCTGACCTCCACGTGGGAACTTTGCTGAAGAGGAGACCGCTGAGTGTAGTGCTGGAGAGGAGAGAGGACCCCGAGTATGGTTTGGTTTCAGAGGTTCTCCCGACAGACTAAACTTTGAATAAGAGTGACGAGGTCTTCTTCACGTCGACCTACACACCATTAAAACGCACACTGTAAAGAAAGCCATGCACCTCCAAGTGTTCATTCATCCGTGTAAATACCTTCGTCTTCCGATCCTTTTCATCCGTTCTTATAGTTTTGCATCTTCACATCAGCGGGTGTATTAACCACTTTCATGTGTCTACTGACTGGTAAACAAGGGGAAAAAAAAAAACGACACAGGAGAACTTTTCCTCCTCCGCAGCAAGAATGAAACATCTGTCGAGTGATAGTGGAGTTGCCAAATTACGGAGTTCATTATTTTATGTTATTTTATCAAGACTAAGCAAGGCCTTGCTTGAATTCAAATATAGACATATTGTGGGACTTGTTGGGTTGTGCAATCGTATTTTACATACATTGGTGTACAGATTATTGTTGTTTTATATAGGTAATGCAATGTGTATATTTAATTGCTCAGAGGGGTCAGGAATCCCTCGTTATATCATTGCGTGTGTTACAGAATACAGTTATGATTGTCCACTTTCCATACAGTCTGGGAGTCCATCTACTTTTGTTTTGCCAAGCATTTTCCTGGTAGTATTCAGACTGTCGTATGTACTGTATATACTGTATAGGCATTCTTATTTGGCAAATAAATTGCTTTATTATTAACCCTTGTGGTTTGTTTTTACATTGGCTTTAAAAGGTCCTTGTAGTTTAACCTCGCTGCTGTAAGCTTAAAGATAATAGTAACCGCAAAATCAACCCTTTTTCTTTTGTCCTTTAAATGACCCGATACATAGAAAATGATTTAAGTTGTAACCCTTCTCTTTTACACAAATCAGTCTTGGTGACGGAACGCAGAAATAACCATAAAGCATGTTATTGATACCAAGTGTTTCCAGTTCTTGATGTTATGCATGAACAAATGTCTCATTTCCCCAAAAAGTAAAAAAAAAAAAATGTTTGGTATGTTATCCTACATGCTTATCTTTGACCCCCAGACCTGTTTAACAGAAATCCAGATAGACTTGTTTTGGATGGGTACGGCGGCTAAAACATACAAACAACATCAACCACAGATAGAGCGTAGGAAAAAGCCTTTTGTATTCAACCAAAAAACCATTTTACAGAACAGATGTCCAAACAGATGTCATTTCCTGTAGTGAACTTCTGAAACCTCAGTTCAAAATCATCTTTATAGTTCTCAGTCAAAAAAGTATCAAGCTGATTAAACCAAAAGAGAGAAAAAAACTTTTACCATAATTTTGCCATCCAAACAAATCTTACACAACAAAGAACATTCCTGCAAATGGCATAATCAATGTTTTACTGTTAACGTATCACTCTCACCTGCTCTGGAATCAGGGCGAGGAAATGGCCTCTTATCACTACTGACCAACATTCATTCTTATTGTGCATTATTTCTAAGGCAACATGGAGGACCAAGCGGGCGTTTACTACTGAATCCAGTGGCTGGTGGTTGGGGACTGTTGCCAGTATTTGCAGCAATATTGGCACGTTTCTTTCCCTTCAGAACAGCTTGGTTAAAGGCAACATGTTACACATTGAGTTTGACACACACACAGTTTCAAACACACACACACACACAGACCACCACAAATCCTCTGACACAGAGGCTGCGATTAAGTCTTCCAATCGTCATCTGGTGTGAGCTGTTGTTAAACCTGATAAATCATCTAACCTTTCACTGACTGATTCAGTCGTTTCACCTACGACTTCCAGTCTTCTTAATTTAAGATGCTTTTTTCTTCTTTTTTTTCCCCCCCCCGACATTATGAAAAATAATAAATACACAAATCAAAGCACTCGGATTCCAGTGTAAACACCAACCATCTCATCACTTTGGCTGCTGTTGGCAGCTCCACTGTTTGTTTGTTTTTTAAATCAGGATTGCTCAGAAAAACTTGTCCTTCAAACTAATTTGGGACTCAACTGAGATGATCCTGCAATATCAGATGCACATATATGTACACACACCCAAATAGAAAACTCTGTATACAGTACAGTGTGTACAAATGTGTGTAAACCACATCTTGTACAGGGTCTCAAATCAGCATATTGTTAAAGGAATAGACATTTGGGATGGTATGCTTATTTGCTTTCTTGTCGCGAGGAAGAAGATCGATACGCTTCTCATGTCTGTACGCAAAGTATGAAGCAAACACTAGCAGCCAGTTAGCTTATCACCAAGGTTAAACTAGGGGGGACAAAACAGACTAGACTTTGTATGTACAAAACTAACTAAAATAAAATAAAAATATCTTCAGTTTTAGTCTCAATTTGGTCAAATTTGTCAACACAGCAACCCTGACCAGGCATCAGTGCGTATGTTTATTGAGACTGTCGATGTGCTTGTTTTGTAATACCTCTATTGAACTTCTTAAATCTTGCCCCTGATAAACACCCCTTTATATGACAATATAAAAAGCCCTAAAACTAATTCTAAACTAACATTTTTAAACAACAAAAAAGTAAACTGATATGAACAAACCCACGCTGGAAACTAAACTGAATTAAAAACAAATTAAAACTAATGAAAAATATAAAACTATAATAACTCTTATAGCACAAAGACTGGAGGGAATTTGTTCTGTCCTAAGGTAATAAAATCCACCTACCAGTAGTTCTAAAGCTGACTAATTATCACGTTTGATCTTGTTTGTTTAACCTCACGGTGAAGGGAAAGTCTGTAAAACCACAATGTGTCATTTTTGCCCTTCACTTTTTGTTCAGACAACAACAAATCTTACAAACAAGATACAACCTGTTAACTAATGAGCCAGAGAGGTGCTGCCAGGCTGATTTTATTACCTTAGGACAGAGCAAGGCCACCTGTTTCCCTCCCATTTCCAGACTTTGTGCTAAGCTAAGCTAGCTGTACCTTCATCTTTAATGGACAGACTGAGTGATATCAATCTTCTCACTGAACCCAAAATGTCAAACTATCCCTTTAATTGGCGTAACTCTATTAATCATGATCGACCTGAGGAGTGTTTGTATGGCAGGAGATTTCTCTGCAGCGAACGATCAGCTCGAGTCGAGCTCCTCGTGTTCTGCGGCGTCTACGACTGGCACATTGTAGTGGCGATCGTCCTCTGTGACGAGGCACACGGACGGCCAGTCGTCCTTATGGTCGTCTGGGTAATAGGTGACAAACTCCTCCGTGTCGGCCTTGTACAGTCTGTAAACTTGAATGGTGCACTGCAAGGCGTAGCCCAGCAGGAACATCTCCACCTGCACGAAAGGCAAAAAAGAAAAAAGCTGTGAGATAATTGCACGGCTACAGAATGCGTGCTTCTTACATCAGCTGCTCAAGCACATGATACTTAAGGGTGGGGTTTCTTTGTCTTTCTAAGGAAACCGTGCCAGTAAAAGCTTTAATTAAAAAGAGTGAAAATAACAATTAAACTCGCTCTGCACCTTCCTGAAACCTCCTCACCCCCGGGGGGCTGATGATGCGGCGACATTACAGCTCAAACAACAGAGAAAACAACACAAGCGCCGGCTTGTTTTACTATTCAGGTTTCAGATCATGAGAATGTTACACGCCCAATCATGACATCTTTGTTTTTCTTGTTAAAGCATGACAATGGTTTATTTAGCAGAAATGTATTGCTGGATTCAAAAGGTCAAGAAAATCCCAGCAGCTACTTGCTACTAAGTTATTATTTACCATAAACGGTTCATATAAAAGCTCCTGTACACAGCCAGTAAAACATTCAGTACAGGTCTTTAAACGCCTGTTCGAGTGAGTCTGCCCTGGGTTTCTCCTACCTGCTCCAGCCCGGCACTGAGGCCCACGTGGCTGAGGTGGTTGGAGAGGAAGGAGCGCGGGCAGTCGGACGTGTCCCTGGCGAACAGCAGCCAGCAGAAGAGCGGGACGTCTTCGCCGGTCTGCATGCAGCCGTGCAGCTCCGCCGCTCTGCCCAGCATCAGCAGCTTCAGCGCCTCCAGCAGCCCCAGCTCCTCTTCTCCTCCCTGAAACACTTGCTCGCACAGCTGCTGCCGCTCCACAGCCGAGGGGCAGTCCACTGCTGCCTGCCACTGTAAGACCAATCAATGAAATGAATCAATAACTAGTTTGCATTTAATCACTTATGGCTTTACAAATGTGAGGATTTGCTGCAGTTTTCTAAAAAAAAAAAAAAAAAAGCATAATTTATGACTCATTATTTTTTATATTTTCTAGCTTAAATTATTAATCAATGAATAAAAATTGACTGAATAATGAAAAATATTCAGCAGCTGCAGCCCCGGTAATGTCTGTCCAGAGAATGGTACAAGAGGAAAGACCATAATTATTTGAAGCGTGGAAGCAGAGCTGAAACAATCTATTAGTCGATTAGGAAATAGGACTGATTCATCTTTTAAGTCATTTTATTTTTTCCAACCAAAAATACAAATGTTACCTAGGTCCATTTACTCTCTTCTTTGTCTTATGTGATGGTTAGTTGAAGATCTTTAAGTTCTGGGATGTTTGTTGCACAAGACAAGCAACATAGACATTTTATAGACCAATCAATTATTCGATCATTCAAGACAATATCAATCAGTCCCACATATCCTCTGAGCATTTTGGCCTGATGGAGGCGGTAGATTAAAGGCCAGGAGGACACCAAAACACTGGGATTCATCCTCCGTTTCCCCACAGCAAATATTATAGAATCTGACAAATTTTAATCTGGTTTGACAAATAAACGCAGGTCTCAATTAGACGCAAGGTCTGGTTTTTATAGAGGTTCTTTGGATGTATAAACCCTCTTAAAGCACAATAGGTTGCCCACTTGCTGCTTAGATTGTACATACGAAACACGTTGTGTCATTATTGAAATGCTGCACATCGTTAGATCAATTCGGTTCTCCACAATTCATAACTGATACGTTATTAGATTTTTATACAATTAATATTCATACAGGTTTAAATAAACTATTTGACTATTCTTTGCCGTTCAGGAATGTAGAAAGAATGTGTAGTTATTTATTCAATTCCAGTCTAACATATGGCATTCATGGAATATTTTGTTTTCACCACAACCGAAACTACAACCTGAAAGATCATCAGACAAAATCAGTTCCACCAAAGTGTTTTTTACTCAGGGGCTATTGTAAGGAGGTCCAGCCCTCCCATTCTCTGCATTCATGTACACAGCCCAGAATAACACAGTCTATTCCTAATGCAAATATATGGAATCCACAATGTCAGGCACAAAACCAGCACACAGTTACCTCTCATAAGGCGAAACACACCAGCGACAGTGAATGTCTGGGGCCTCATTCTGTTACAGTAACTGTGGTTAGAACGGTTTCTTTTGAGGCTGAGGGTCCATCTATCCCTCCAGATCCTTTAGGGGAATTACTAGGCTGTGCGTTAATGACACACAGACCAAAAACAAAAAAAAAAAAGCCACGAGAGACTGAGCAGTGCAGCATTTAGAAGACTACCTCCCTTTAACATATGGTAGCAATCACATCTAAAAGCTCCGTGGATGAATATCAATACCCTCAGTGTCCACGGATGGCATAAAAATAGTGCTGCGGTTTACTCGCTCCGTCTTTTAAAATACTTTCTCACATGTTTCCGAGCAGATTTGTACCTTATTTCTGAGAAGCTCCATGTAGCCTTTTAGCTGCAGTGTGGCATCTCCTGTCCCATCTCCCTGCAGGCATTCTCCAGGAAATGTCCACTGACTTATCAGACCTTTCTGGGCCTCAAGTTGCTCCGGCAGCTGTAAACACACAGAGAATTAAAATGCTAAGACGTAATTTCAGCTGTGTTGAAGGGAACTGAAGCACTGACATTGTTTGAACATGGACGAAACAACAACAAGGCTTTAATCCCATGTCTTCTACACGGACTATCAACCCATGTGGATGCTGAAATTCATGTAGCCTTAGCCTCAGTCTTTCAGCACAATATAACGTTGATGTATTTAGCCATCAAGTGGATATTTAAGACAGCAAAATGGATGGTCAGCGGCTAAAATACTGTCATTTCGATTAGTGGGAATCAGGATTTTTGCATCACAATTTTATTTATTACTGAAAAAACTATTACAATCATGAAGATGTGACATTTGTTGAGGTCTGCAGTAGCAACCAAACATGTTTTCTTACATGTAGAGAACAAGATTTGTAGGCCAGGGCATCTCTACAGCATTACAGCACTTCATTATAATGCAGCTTCCTCAATTTGGATATTGCACTTGGCCATACTACGATAATTGTGCAGCCCGACTTTCTAGTAACTGTGTGAAATCAACGACCCATTGTTAAATTACAAAAGATTTCAATGCTATATTCACCTCCATCACTGTAAACTGTAATACGTGCTGTCTGAACAGACTGTTCGAAGCGTAGCAACGGCGAGGGGCACGGGGGCCGTAGCTAACGGTCAAGTAATACCACCTCGTTACGTGAGCGTTTACCATAATAACGTCCTCCTCCTGCAGCCATGAGGGCAGCTGGGTGCTGTGGGAGAGCACCTGGAACAGTGTCGCTCTGAGGGCACAGTAGTTGTCTCCCCTCACTCTCCTCAAGCTGCCAAACCTCTGGGACATCTCTTCATAACCCTGCAGCGGCACACAGGGACACCACAGGACGTCTTAGCCATTAACGTGAAGAGAAAAAAAAAAAAACACCTTTAATCTGAAACACTTCTTCCCAGAGAGCTACAGGCACCGACCTTTCTAATGAGAGCACTTTTGGCAGTGTTTCCTTTCCACTCTCTCTCACTGTAAGACAGAATGTCCACGGCTGGGGCCAAACTACATCTGTCCTCCACCTTTAAATCTGAGACAGACAGACAGAGAGAGAGAGAGAGAGAGAGAGAGAGAGAGAGAGAGAGAGAGAGAGAGAGAGAGAGAGAGAGAGAGAGAGAGAGAGAGAGAGAGAGAGGAGAATAAGACACACAACGATGGACAAAACAGAAGGACTACTGTCTGTATTTTACATGACAAAACACAAACACAGATGAGTGATTTGGATGTACTGACGTGTTCCTGGTTTATTTGTTTGCGATGCTGACAGCTCCTCGGCTCCTCTGTACAAGTCTTCCTCACTGAAAAGGAAGAATGAAAAAAAACAAAAAAACACTTAAGACTGACAATGATTTATATTTTTCTTACTGTCAACAAATCCTTATAAAAGAAGACAAATCCTACTAACAAGTTCATCCTAAAATCTCTTTCCTGTGCCACACAGATCCATTACTGTTTAAAAACTATTAAAAAACAAATCAGTGAGACACTCTGTTGCCCTGGGTGACACGTTCCTTCCTTTCAGTGAACATGGGTAGTTTATTTTGAGTAAATCCCACATAGTCCGTCCTGCTGCTGTAAATACTCACCAGCACCAAATTGGTTTTAATCTGCCGCTAAAAATAGTTAATTTAGTCGGGTCTCCGTTCTGTATTTCCTCCTGTGTAAATAACATTTGATAAAAACATAGTTGCCCACCTATCTTTTATAAATAAAATACACAAATGCATGTTTGTAACGGAGCAAAAGAGTTAGGTCTTCAGTAGGAACGAATCTGTTGCACTGTGTTTAGACGTGGCGGAAGACAGTGACAGTGCTCCAAAGATGAAATAAGTCTTAAAGTGTGGTCGTATTTTGGGGAAAACATGACCATAGATGGTCACCTTGTCTGCAGAAAATCAAAAGGGGGGCAAAACTTTAAATTTCTTATGAGTCATGTTTTACTTTTAGCTCAATGATTTCAAAATGGGGGAAATGTGATGGTTTGTCTGTGTCTCAGCGTAGGAACACAACACGTCGTTCTGCTGCTGTACATCTCCAGACTCTTTTGCCCATTGCACAATATAATGTGGTTTTCATGTAGTTTACTCATCCAACTTACATATTTTTCACATTTTAAAATCTGGTCGGTTGTGTAATTTGATTTTTAATATCTTTACATGAGGTATTTTCTATGTTATTATTTTGATGTTTATGCAAACAAAAAGCATTTAGTGCTGCTCGTTTTGTTTGTGGTTCTTTTTCTTCTATATAAAACTTGGTGAAATGATTTCAGTGTGTGCATCAGTACATTGTCATACAGTCTAAAATATATACAGTAAAACACCGACCTTATGCTTAAAAATCACGATGAACTAAAAATGATCCTTCAGTTTGTTTGCTAATCTTCCAAACCTTCACGATAAATGCCTAAAATATCGACATAATTTGTATTTTCTCGTGTTTTGACACCAAAATCCCATTTGAGAACTGTGTATTCTCAGTGGTTACTCTGTGGCAATAACACACGCACTCTGGGGATGATGACGCGTAAGATCTCTCAGAGCTGAAGACTAAACACATGGTGCTGAGTCTACAATGCCACACAGTTTTCAACAGTGCCTTCCTGTGTTGCGACTCTTTCGACAGATACACCCATTAAAACACATGATGTGTGAAAAATGATCATGACAAACCTGTTCCCCAAGCCATCTTCAGCAGAGTCTTCATTCTCTGTGACGGATATCTCGTCAGCTGTTACACCGGTGGATGTGCTCCCTGACAGCTCCTCTTTTCCAGTTAACTCTGGGATCTCAGCATTCCCAGCCTCGGTCTCGGCCTCTGCGGGAGTGTTTTCCACCTCCTCCTTGATCTCTTCGTCCTCCTTCGCTACGGGAACATCTCCATCTTTGTCGTGGTCTTTCCTTTTCTCCCCAATGATGCTCTCCGAGGAAGTGACCTCCTTCGAGCTCATCGTCGCACACTCAAGATCTGGCTTTGCATCCTGATTTGACTTTGAGCTGGAGAGAGAAAACATCTTTATCGTTATTCATCCTGCTTTAAATCAAAAGATTACCATCTATGTCTTTAACCCATCTTATAAGATTTACAGAAAAAGAGCCACTTAAATGACGTTTTAAATCATAAAACATTTGTTTAGTTGTATAAATATTTATGTAGGAGTCTGCTGCCACAAGCTGGTGGTGTCTATATGCCCCCTAGTGGTCAAAGGGAGGCTATCAAAAACACAAAAGTACACAGTTTATGTAAACAAGTGCCTTATTTTGATATCACAAACTCTGAACCAACTGACCTCTCGCTGGCGTCTGGCGGTGCAGTGGTCTCTGGCTGCCCGACAAAGTTGGCGGCGCTTCGTTCCTCACCGCTGTGGTTGAGTCCTGAGGGCTCGGATCCCGGAGAAGACTCGGAGACATCATGGCTTTTTATGACTTCAGGACCGGCCTCATCGCACACTGAAGAACTCCCATTCTCTGAATGCTCTGTCACAGCACTAGACACAGGATGACAGGAGAAAGATATTCATTTATATACAGCAGAATCTATACTGATACACACCACTGATACAGAGGCTGGTTGGGTGATATGGATTCTTTTATCTCTGTATATTCCTGTAAGATCAGCGTATTAATGCAGGTTTATCACCCTCATCTCATCACTGGGGCTGCATGATATGGTAAAGAATCATACAGGAGTAATTAAGACTTATTGTGATTCGTGAATGATGATTTTTGCATCACAATTTTCATTTTCACTGTAAAAATCACAATGATGATGTGATATTTGTTCAGGTCTGTAACAAACAAACATGTTTTGAAGATTAGTAGGTCAGGGGATCTCACAATATACTACATTACTTCATTATAATGTCGTTCTGCAGCTTCTGTTATTTGGATATCGTGCTTGTCCATTTGGTAATTTCAATATTATTTCGATAAATTGTGCAGTTCTACTCATCACATTGATGATTAACAAATATAATACTGCCATTAAGCAATACTGCTTGTTGACTTTGCAACGCTGCCCTTGATGGCCTGATACAGCCGTAGATATAAAAGGGATAATGATTAATTAAGAGATGATGACCTCGGTACGGCAGTGTTTGTATACCTGTACAGTTTATTGTACATTGACCAACCTGACAACCTGTGAAAATACTGTGAATGCAATGATAGTTTCTTCCAGTATAAACATACTCTATGGTATCTTCTTTCTTTTGAGGTGAAAAATATCGTTGTAGGTTCTGGTGTTTTGTTCTGGTGTTCAACAGAAGAGTAATTATTCCTTCTCTGTTTTATTTGAATATGGTTAAGTGAACTAAAGAAGTAAAATGATCAAATAATTCATCAGAAAAATGTTCATCATCTATGCCACACCTCATTTTTAAAGATACCACATAATAACACACATCATATCCCCTTCGTGCTTCGTCAGCCTTGTGGTTGTCTGTCAGAAGATGTCATAAATTGGCTTTTTATCCAGTTTTAAGCCACATTTTTACCATCCACTGTTTAGATCTTGGTCCTTTTTAACTGCATGTTTTAACCAGATGAAGGATTCTGGTCATTGGGCGTCCCGGGGTGTCACTTGTCCACCGAACAGCATCGGAAAAACCCTGACTTTTAAGGTGAAGCTTTACCGGTTTTAATCACTGAATCTGTTTTTTCTGAAGAAGAGGAGATCTCTGCAGATAATTCAGCTCCTGTACGAACCTCCTGAACAACGAACAGTGAAGGAAACCTAACTGTCAGAAGCTGACTGCAGTGACGGCGATGCTACCCACGCTGCTTCACAACATCACTAAACTTCGTCTTTTGTCACCGATTTGATAATGGGAGACCCCCTAGTGGCAGAACTTACACACTGTACATTTAATTTTAAAAATATGAAACCGTAATCAGAATAATATATGTTATATATGATAAAAATACATATTAATTGCTTAGCTCTAATTGTACATATTCCAATTCAACCTTAATGATATGTCGTTGTATTTTTCCATCCAACATCAGAAACTGAAACTTTCGTGACTCACCAGCTCGGAGACTCTTTGTCGATCTCCTGACTGACCACAGAGATGGACGACACCTGACAAGCTGCTGTGTTTGGCGCAGATAACGCTTCATTATTTTGAGGAAACTCCCCAGATGGCTCGGCTACAGTGCTGTCAGCGGTGACCTCGGAGCCTGCTTCTTCATCATTATCATGAGCGTTGGCCAATGTAATGTGCTCGCTTGTTGTGTTTATCTCAGTATGGTTTTCAGGGCAAACTGTCTCGGCTGTTAGTGAGGCGATATCGGGGATTTTGTCCTGCGTTGAGGCTGGATTTTCTTCTTTTGGCGCCGCATTTGTAGCTTTAAAAACCTGCCAATCAGCTGCGGCTTTCTGCGGGGAGTTTAAAGTGCATTGCAGAAGTTCAGCTTCTTCACTGCCTGCAGGGCGGTTTTTTGCATCTTCATCTTGTGCTCTGGAGGAGTTTTCTTCGGGTTCGGACCCTTTCCTCGGAGAAGGTGTCGCCTTTTGTTTGACCACCTCCTGCAAGGCTCTATTCTCCTGAGTGTTATTGGGCTCCGAGTCTCCAACCTCAGGACTCTGCTTCACTTGCACAGCCTTCACCTCCACAGCCTCAGCCTTCACCTCCACAGCCTTCACCTCCACAGCCTCAGCCTTCACCTTCACCTCCTCGGCCTTCACCTCCACCTTTATATTATTATCATCAGGCGTTTTCCTGAGTGACATAACACAGAGAGAATGAGCAATGTCACATCAAACAACAAAAGCATCTTTTCAAACCTTAAATTAAAACCCCACCTCAGTCGCAGCTTTAATGATCTAATATAACAATGAGAAACAGGATTTTTTCATGAGCAGATATGTGATCAGAGATGAGATGTTTCATGATTCTTTCTGTACTGCAAATGTGGAGGAGGTACGTAATCTATAATCAGTCATCTTTCTGTTGTATCTCTTTGCACTAACCACCGATGATGTCTCTTCCTGAAAACCTTTAAGCCCTCGGGAAGTCCCCTCACCCCATTAAGGCACCTAAGCACTAACACACCCTACGCACTCTTCAATCAACTTTCTGTCCGGCCTAAACCAACATTTGAATACAATATTTCCACAGACAGACAGAACACAAAACGTCTCAGTTGGTTTCAATGTTGACAAGTCTCTGTAGAAAGGGCCCCATTAGTGAGTCAGCGCTGACATTTGCTACGATCTCAGTATGAAAAACAAAAAAACCGTAGCGGGAAATTTGTGAGATTTCTGTGTCAGCGATGTAAACTTAAACGATATTAGATTTTTCCCTGAGTGGGCTGTGAGAGAAATGACAACGCCAGGAGGGACATCAGCCTGCGAGTCAACTGTTTTTTTTTTATTCACTGCTGTATTTGATTTTATGATTTTTGTATTATGTTATTTAAATATATATTTGTTGGCGGCTGTCTCTGAGCCAAATCTCTGTCTCGGTTTACTCCACTCTCTTTTCTACATCTGTGACACCACCTTTGAGGGTGTAACCTGCTGCCGACCAACAGGTTTAAACTTACGTCTTCCCTTTTCCCCTGAAGTCCGCATTAATAAACACTATATCACCAGATCGTGTTAGTGACGCTGAGATTAAATAAACAACAACACAACAAAGGGAACCGTTACTGAAAGTGGTGATCTCACCTCATCTCGTCATCTCCTTCAGGACCACAAGTGCCCACCACAGTCGTATCGCCTGTGGCCGTCGTGGTCTTCGAGTCATTCTTCAGCAGAACACTTCTTTCCTCCGCACTGCCACAGGGACTTTCAGCGTGACAGCAGCTGCTCCCCATCTGTCCCCAAACGCTCCGTCTGCTCGGGAGGTCGGACAGGACGTAGGGCTGAACGGTCGACCTCTGGTCCAGAAACAACCTCCGAGAGCGACCTGACGAGTCGCTGAACCCTGAAGACTTCAGGAGTCCATGATGACGAAGGTGGAGCTGCTGCAAGAGCCAGGAAGGAACGGTGATACACAATGTGTGAGTGATTAACACACTCCTCTCTGCTACTGTTAATTATGTGACCCCGATTAGGAAGTTTAGTTAATGCAAATATTTAAACCACTAGGTGAGCCAAATATTGTCAAAAGAGGTGAACACTAAATGTTATTCTATCAGGTATTAAAGTTTATAGCTCTTTAAATTCTCAATATTTAGTTAACAGCTAACACATATGTTGGTCTGAAGAGACTTAATGTTTAATAACACAGTTTGAAATGTGATTAAATGAGAATATGGTGCACGTATTGTAAAAACATTACCTTAAATAACAGCTGCACCCTGTTAATGTAACAACAACAAGGAAGTATCGATAATGAAAGCAGCTTTTCACGTTCATCGATCCTTGTATTAACAATAATCACATTTTAAAAATAGATAAACATACCTTTTGATTTAGAGGCAAAGTCACGAAGCTCCGATTTCCGCTTTCACTTTTAATCTGCAGCTGCAAAACAAATAAATACAAACAAGCTTAAGTGAGCTAGCCCCCCCCAGCTAGCTCAAAAGGTATAAACTTACAAATACAAACAACCGACAGTAAACAACCGACACACCGGAAACCTCCCGCAGACACCGCAACCGTCGCTCACTACCGTGCGGTCAACCAGCGGCGGGTATTCGCGGTGTTTTGTGCGGTAACATGTGTCGGCGCGAACCCCGCTAGCATAGCCGGAGCAGCGGGTCGCGGCACGGTCCGAGCGCGTGACGTCACGCCCGTGTGTGAGCCGCGGAGTTGTGCGGCGTTCAGGTGCTGCTCGGAAACCCGCGTTACTTGCGTTCACCCCGCGGTGCGTTCAGGGGGAGACGTCGAAAAATAAAAGCGAGGTCAGAAACTGGGAAGTGTTAAATCATATGGTTGGATTGGTGGGTTAGAGAAATCAATAAATATATATATATTATATATATTGTTATTGATTATGTAAGAAAAAAGCAGAATGTAATGTGATTACTTTAACTTTATTATCTTGTAGAACAGTTCTTATTTTATTTCAGTTAATTTAATAAAGTAATTAAGAGATGAGCTGATAATGGGATTAGTCAGTTGCAGCCTTATTAAATGTAAACGTGGAACATTTCTGGCTACAAGGAACGTGGGCAAGGGAGGTTCTTTTTGTCCTGTTACGTCAATGAAACTTGACATTTTACTTGATAAGAAAATGATACTCATAACAGTTTTCATTAGTGTGGTAATAAAGTAATGTTTTCATTATTATTATTATTATTAACAGTCATTTAATATTGAGGGAACTATTAGAGGGGAGAAAGTTGTCCACAATCTCAAATAACAAAGAAAACAAATCAACTCTTAAAACTCTCAGTGGGAGGGAAATACTCTGCTAAACTGTTTAAGCATCATGGTAATAATTTATTGATTTATTGATATTATATAACATTGATTCACAGTGTCATGGTAGGTTTCAGGAATCCCCCGATCCACTTCTCACTCTCGTTATGACTGTAATTTCACATCCAACCAAAAAGAAACGAAACATTTCTGAGACAACAAAATAATTCTTCATTACAAAATATATAAATATATAAATATATATACAGCCAATAATAAATAAGAGTTAATGTAAAGATTTCATTTAGACGGGCAAGAAAATAGATCAGTTTTTATTTTCAAATATTCTTCAACCATTTTATACAAATTCAGAAATTAAATATTAAACATTATTTACATCCAATATACTTCATAGCCGTGTGTAAGGAGTTTACACTAAAACCCGTTTGTTTCATAGTTCGTGTCCTCGTATTGTCCCAAAACCGCTGTGATTCTGTTCCCTGACGTTCAACCACTACATGTTCTGCAGCTCCTGTATGTGACTGATCAGCTCCTGCGGGAGTTCGAGCTCTGACACGAGATCCACGCAGCGCTGCAGGAGGAAGTTCAGGCTTTCGCTTAAGCCGGAGGAGCAGTCAGTGGACCCAGAACAGGGCTTTTGTTGCTGTTGAGAACCGTCCAGGTCCATTTTCTCTCCTCCCCTGCAGCAGTCTGTTTCTCTACATCCCTCCCCACAGCAGCCTGAATCTGCCTGCTGCACCTCCAGATCCTCCATGCTGTCAGAGACGGAGCTCACGCTGGGAGGAGGATTCTCCAACGTCTTCCTGATGCCGTCCAGCACCGCCTCTTCGTGCTGTGAAACCCGCCGCAGGAGGTCGGTCACAGAGGCTGGGACGGGGCTTTCCGGATGTTGAATCTGGCACCAGCACCATACAGCGCTGCGACGTGACAAACAAAGAGGCAACAGTGTCAGACACAATGGCACAGAGAGAGAAAAGAGTCTTTAATAATAACCAGAACAAAAGAGGCTCAGGACGTTTCTGTGCAGGAAAGAGGCAGAAATGTTACACGTAGGGGTGTTTTTAAAAAGAGTGTATGGAAACTGAAGAGCAGGGCAGAAGAAAGAAATCATCTTAATAACCAAGTAGCTTTTTCATATATATGAGCTGTGTGATTTTTAATATTTAACCAGATACAAAAAAACCCCACAATAATATGAATATGGATAAGTTTTACAAGCTTTTATGGAGGATTAATTTACAATAAAAACTGTTCTGCCCCTAATAGTAAACACAGGACTCCATTAAAATACATATATATGAAAATATTGTGACATAAATACAATTTCCCAAAGTTAATGCCATGTCTTTGCTAAATGTTATTTATTTATGTTACCAAAAGTGTCACACCTGCTTGCTTAAATTCACATTTTGTGTTTACTTCTATAGTTTTAACTTTATTTAGTTTACAACAGGAAACATGTAACTTTAAAGATATTTGGCTTCTTTTGTGTACAAACGTGTTTGTATTCCTCTAAGGGTAACGATAAAAAGTATAATTTATGGTGTTGACACAGAAACTTGGTAGCTGCTTAATTCAGATGGAATAAAAAGCATTTGGCCATACATAAAATATTGTCACTAATAATCGACTTTTAAATATAAATTGTGGCACAATTCATAAGTTTGTAGCTCAGAAATGTCCCTTATATTATCAGGAGGATTATTTTAATGAGTTCTGTGTGATTTAATGAGGCTTAATGCGAACACAACGTATAATAATGACTTTTCTTTCTTGGATTGTGTCATTTTAATCACTTTTTAGGGGCGTAAAGAGGTAAAAATATCCAGTTTTTATACTATAAAGTCTGAAAAATAAACCTAATTTTATGTAACATCCATTCTTATTTCCTAACCCACATTAATCATTAAATATACCACATATTGTATAAATTATATGATGGTTTTTACCTTAATATTCCTTTGAGACGGCCCACAGCGGCAGTCTGAGCTGCTCCTTCCCGGAACCCCTGGTTGAACCCGGCCTGAAGAGAGGCCTCCTCCCCGGCATCCACTCCGTCCACATACCCGTCCTATCCGCGGTAAACATTAAAACACATTAAAACACATTAAAACACATTAAAACACACTAACACAGAACCGAGAGCAGCTACTACAAACATACAGCCAGAAATATATAATATATAACATTTAAAGCAAAATATTAAAGTCAAACACTTTTTTTTTTTTTTTTTTTGGCAGTTGGTTAGCTCATTAGCATTAGCCACATTAGCTCGTTAGCCACATTAGCTCATTAGTATTAGCCACATTAGCATTAGCAACATTAGCTCACTAGCATTAGCCACATTAGCTCGTTAGCATTAGCCACACTAGCTCGTTAGCATTAGCCACATTAGCTCACTAGCATTAGCCACATTAGCTCGCTAGCATTAGCCACATTAGCTCGTTAGCATTAGCCACACTAGCTCGTTAGCATTAGCCACACTAGCTTTACCCGGACTCTCCTCTTCATGTTGGTCGTCCACTCTCGGCTCAGCAGGCTGATGTCGTCCGCATTCTCGTCGAAGACATCTTCTCCACCGAACGGAACAGCTTTAACCCAAGACATGGCGACTTTATAACATATAAAAACTGTATTTTAATATAGTTTAACGGTCTGTTTATACGTCAGGAGCCTCTCCGCTACCTGACTGACAGCCGTTAGCCCACTGTAACGTCCTAGCTAATGGACGTCATTACGCTGCGCCTCTTCTTCTTCTTCTTCTTCTTCTAGTTTTACGGCGGTTGGCAGCTTATTGGCGCATTACCGCCACCTTCTGCTCCGGAGTGTGAACCAGAAAAATAGATTTATTTACTTAAAAACAACAACAATAAACAAAACAAAACAAACCTAACCTAACTTATACTTTATCCACTCCTAACAGCTGTTCTTGTTTATGTTTATATTCCATTAAAAACCCTTAAAAAGGTCAACAATAAACAATTAATTAATCATTTTAATGTGAATTCCTCTTAAATCCCTAAATTTAACCTCCTACAACTCAGCCCAGTGCCACAAAGAGAAAATCCACATTGAAGCTGCAGTAGGTTTTTTTATTTGCTGAATCATTTCTTTATATATCCTGACGTTAGACAGATAATCTGTGGTTCCTCTGGTTGGTTCTAGTTCTCCTAACGGTGTCTGCGAGAACCCACCGGGCCCGAATGAAAACAACCAATCAGAGCCGATAGATAAGATAGCTGATTGTCAATTACAGACGTTTTGGGACTCTGTGAGGAGACTCAACAATCTAAAAAGTGCTCGATTATCTATCTATTTATTTTCCTTATTCATACTTTAATATTCTACAAAGGTTATAATATAAATAATGGACAAAATGTTACAAATTCACACATTTATACAGTTTTTTTTAATGCATTTTCAACTCTCAACTACTCATTTATGCCTTTGGTTATTCAAACTTTCATCAATTTTAAGTAATTTAAAATATTAAACTTACTTACAATGGAGGTCAGTTCATGTTCAACCTCTTCCAGCTCATCACATGAACATCCAATAATTTAACTTTTTAATACCTTTAATAGTTTTTAGGTTTCTCCAGAATAAAGGTTGTGTTGTTAGCTGAAGTAAAAGGCGTTATCATAGGTATGGTGGTCATGTTAGGACATCTCAGACTCTCTCAGAGTCCTTATTATACTGAATAAATTAATAAATGGTTGCTGATGATGTCGTATGTTATTATTTTAATGCAGAAAAGTATCTAAAAATGTTACTTTGGTACAGTAATTGAGTAAATGTAGTTAGTTTCATTCAACCAGTGGAAATCAGGGCGACCACACGTGACTTTTGTTGAGTTGGACCAGTGACAATTAATTAATTTTGTTTAATTAAAGTGGAAAATGTTCACAAATGGATCTATTTGAAGTTTGATATCCGACTCATGTTGAAACCAATTACATTAATATAATTTTAATTTTGATTGATTAAAAGGACGTCCGTTGTTTTCTTACATGAATTTGTGCAAAAAAACTCTAAGAAACGTAAAAAAAGAGTGAAAGACATAAAATTTATGAATTAAATGTTAAATTAAATTGAAAGTGTCAATTTAAATGACACAATTTGAACAATTTTCCTGAGATTTTTATTTTATTGTGTTTTTTTTTTAGTCCTGCCAACTGTTTTTTGCACAATTTGAAGCTACTATTTTCTTTTAGTTTGTATTTTTCCTTTAATGCTCACTTCCTCCTCTCTCTGTGTGTGTGTGTGTGTGTGTGTGTGTGTGTGTGTGTGTGTGTCTGTACTGCCACCTACCGACAGCAGGTAGTAACACACTGTGGGTCCTGCAGGGGGCGCTGGTGGCTCGCTGTAAAACAGAGTCAGATCCACAACATCAAACATCCTCAAGCATCTGAGAGTTTACAGATAATGGGAAAATCTATTTAACCCATAAACACATAATCTAGTTTTAGCTTTACCACTCATCTTCATCATCATCATCATCTTCTTCATTGTAAACTTGGTGATTTTGTCTCCTCGTGTGTTTTATTTCTGTCTCAGAGTTTGTATCCCCCCCCAACAGCAGCTGTGACTTTATATTGTTTGTTTTGTTTTTAAATAAATAGAGACATAAATAATTAATACAATAAAACGCACATCGTTTTTTGTTTTAGGCTCCAAATGTTTGGTGGAAGATGTTTTTCTTAAAAATGTTTTCCACGGCACAAAAAGAAAGAAAGTGTAAAGTCACGATTCAAAGCACAACAACAAGGTTTAGATGAAACATGGAAAACCACTGTGTGAAACCACGTGTCTCCATATTTGGTGATTTTTAGGGTTTTCACATAAAGAAAATGATTATGAGTTAAAAAAATAAATAAATAATCTTTAAATTATCTAAAAAAAAAAGCTTAAAAATTGTTTATTTATACAGTTTATGCATCTCAAAAGTGTTGAAAATGACATGTTAAATGGGTTTGAATTCACAGTATATGCTCATTTGAATAGTACAACTTCATAATTAGTAATAATTGGTGGTTGATTGGCAAAATTTCCAATTTTAGTTAAGCAGAATTACACAAAATAAACATTATATGTTATTTTACATTATAAAGATCCACGTTTTAGACAAGAAATCAAAAACATTTCCATTAAAAATAATAATATTCCACACTGATGCTTCTCTTTCTGAACACATCTACAGCTGATAATCAAAACATGGAGGCAATTTAACATTACTGACAAAAAAATATATGAATCTTACATGCTTTTTGGTCAGAAACATGTTGTCAGGATGTCAGAAATCATGTCTGTTGTTGTTTTTTATCAATCCGTGCTGCATTTTTAGTGCAGCCTGAATGCTTCAATCACTGTCCGGTGCATCTTTACAGCTTCCTGTTTAAGTTTTCAAAGGAGAAAATGTCATCCGTCCTGACAAACACATTATTCACTTATCAATAATACATCTCACCTCCCCCCTTCTTTTTTTTTTATCCTCGCTGTCGAGTAAAGAGAGGAAGACAAAAAAGAAATCATTGTTTTATTTTAAGGTTTTCTCATTCTTGCTTCCACTTTATGGAAAACACAGGAGAACAAGGAGGAGGAGGAGGAGGAGGAGGAGGAGGAGGAGGAGGGACGGCTAGGCAAATGCCTTTTCACCTTGTTGGAAGGCATTTGCAGCCGCCGGACAACAATGGCCTTGAGACCACTCCGAGGCCACGGTGGAGTTGTCTCCGCTCTGGAAATGGAGGCCTCATTCACGGGCAGCCACACCTTCAGTCCCCTCGCTCAAAGAGTCAAAACAACTAGCCGGGGCAATCACCTGACACATTTCCATCCAATTTCCACTGCAGAATGTGTTCATTTTCAGGCTAATGGCATGTCATTTTGCTGGAGCCTTTGGTCAAGAATTAATCCTGGAATCAAAACAGATTTTCCGGGGAGCAATCTTCCATCAAGTATTGATTTTTTTACACTCACGGAGCCTGTACTCCCTAATTTAACCTGACAGCCAGCAGCACAATGGACTGGGAGCACCTTGGCATCTCACAGAGGGAGCTCTCCTCCTCCTCCTCCTCCTCTCCATGAAGTGAAAGAGAGATTTGGAAGGAGAGGAGGAAAAAAAAGGACTCCCAGATGTATAAAACAAAGAGCATTGCTTACAGAAAACACAGAGATAAAGCTTCCGTCTCTCTGTTTTACCTCTAATTATGTTTTCTAGTATAGTGCAACTTGGGCAGGTAAGGCTGAGAGGGAAAAGGGGAGAGTGTTCTGGGGCCATCAGCTATCATTATGTGCCTGTTGACATCTCCCTGTCTTTGAGTGATTCTCATCTGTGATTTCCCCTGGCCATTTTCCGCGGATGCACGAAGAGGGGTTTCATCACGGCCCCCATAAAAAAGGACCAAAGTGTCCGTACAGGCCCTCGCTAATAAGAAAGCAAAGATGTGTCCGACCATGTCACTCCTCTCCCATCCATATCTGCTCTCTTGATGCCTTCAGATATGCAATCATTCTCTTTTCTCCCCCCCTCCTCTCTCCCTCTCTCTCTGCATGTGCTGTAAGTATACTATACCGTACGTAGAGGTCAGGAGGATGAGAGGATGATGGAGGGCAGGGCCGGTTATTTTCCTCTAGCTCTTAAAGCTTGCGATGACCCATGTGCAGAGAGAGTTGCACTTTGCCAAAGGGTTTTTCCATGCGCTGCTTACAAACTACCTGACAGGAGAGGAAACTATTTCACTTTTCATCTGCTGCTTTTAACTCATAATCATCCCAGTTTTTTTTTTTTTTTCAGGCTGAATGTGGTGCGATGATTCTATGTGCTCATATTTTTTGATTAAGCAGCACATTTTGTAGTGATCACTGATATTATTATACATTGGCAGGGTTGCAGCACTGGAGCTGAAGTACTTAGATCCTATATGTCAGTAAATATACTAATATCACAGTGTGAGGATTCTCCACTACAAGTAGAAGTACTGTATTCAAAACCTTAGGAATAGTATCATCAGCAAAATATACTTTAAAATTACTTATTATGCAATAAAATCTGTGTTTTACTATTATATATATATATATATATATGCTGTTTTTGGATTTACTGTAGATGTTTAAGGTTGAGCTTATTTTAAACTACTGTACTTTATACACTGTTGGGTTGTTTAATCTACAGCAGTGCATCATATTATATAAGATCTTATGTTTGTGGCGCCCTGTGAGAAACACGTATCTCTTAAAAAATGTCCTGTTTTCAGCTTTGTGACAATTTTCCAGCTGATACAAGAGGATTTAAAAACATTTTTCAGCTTAAGAAGTAGAAGAATTTTTATCAACTTAATCCTCAAGTTCGGAAACTTTAAAAAAATCACAAATTTAACTGGACAGAAAAGGTATAAAATATTCTCAAAAGTAACTAAATCTGTCAGACAAATGAGTAAAATCAGAGCTGTAGTCGAGTAGAAGCACAAAGCTGCATAAAACGTGCGGCCCCTGAGTACAGATACAGGTTTTTTTTTACATCTTTTTCTGTGGTGTTTTGCAGGTTAACCGCGGCTCAAAAGTTCTGGCGCTCAGTTTTATTCAAGCTGCAAATGAGAGAGGAGAGAATCTGTTTAAATCATCTCCAAAAGCTTCTTGATCCACTGACACTGACTGATGTCGTACAAAATGCTATAAAAAGTGGTTCCCGACCTCGTGACCCCGTACAAAGCAGTGTCCATTTGGCTGCTCTACATAGGC